TGAATGGTTAGTGCTTCTTTAGTGCAGGTTTGTGTATTTAAAATCATCATTTGGAAAAATAAAAAAACATTAAAAACTAAAAGATCATATGTGCTGCGAGTCTAGTAAACTAGCCCCACCTGCAAGCGGCCAAAATCTTTTTTTCCTGCATTATTGCCTCAGATTTGGAAGGATTAGACTTGGGGTTTTTGTTGAAACGTTTAAGAAGGACGTATTCGCTGTTTCACCAACAGTTAAACTCCCCCACCAGCTTTCTGTCACGCTTACTACATCACAGTCAGTTGCTCTCATTGGTCAGAGCGTTGGCCAATAGGCACAGAAATGGTTTGAAAAACAACGAGTAGTTCTCATTCATCTGGGCCAGAATAAATGGCACATTTAATCTCACATTTAGTTCGTTTTATCAGACTAGTGTGTTGCTGTTGTTTCAGAGATTTTAGAGATTATTTTTATGCTCATAAATTACAGGTAAGTTATCTAATCGTTGACATACTTTACGTGTCAGTTACTCATAAGTCATGGCGTCTAGTTTAATCCAAAACCTCTGAGTAACTTGTGCGTAATTTATCAAGAACTTCTCTCCAACGCATCAACGTATCTGAAGTGTTCAAGAAAACCGCTGAGCGTGTTTCTAACTTCCAGCTACTGTATAATGGCGTATTGGCAGCATTTTAGTATAAAGGGGTTCACAGGAGGAAACCTTCATAACTCATCCAGACTTCAGATGTTCCACAACAGATGGAGGATCCAGCAAAGCTGAGATGCATACATACCAGCTGTCCTTCAACATCAGCAGGATCTCATCAGATTGACTCTGTTCCAGTTGTAGGGTGAGTGTGATGGATCCTCCTGTTCTCGCCCACAACCAACAAACTTCCTAGCAAACAAAACCCTGAATCTGCTGCAACTGAAAACCTTCTTTATTTTTATTTATTTGTTGTTGTGTTTTTTTGGTGGGCGGTAAACAGAAGCTAGGTTAATACTGCGATCAGAGAAATCTTTTTATGCAGACCAATTGCCTCTGGGCGCATTGCTGCCCCCCTCTGGACTCTGGCTTGTGACATTTAATGGTCATAATGCTGCCGTGCGTCATGCATAAGTTAGGCTGTGGTTGGACATAAGTTGTGCACTCATTATCATACGCTATATATATGAACAAAATTGAAAAAATTTATAGAAAGTTCAGCTTATGCCAGCATTTAAGGAGATTCTGGGACATCAGGCTTTAACACATTTTCTCTGTATTCCATTTTAAGTGAAGATTTCATAGAAAAGTTCAGCTCTGTTCAACTTCAGCGATCAGCGCTCCTCTCTCTCCATGTGCTGCTGCTGTTTGACAACTCAGTTCTATCTAGTAGCACGAGGTGAGAGGAGTAGTGAACGCTCTCACCGCATGGAGTTCACCCCTGGCTGCTTCACAGCCCGGTTTGCATAGGAATTTTATGTGAATCTACAGCGTCTGGTCTAAAAGCACCATCAGAGGTCTGTTTAAAGCCAGAGAGCATCATGAAGAACAAGGAACACAGCATGCAGGTCAGAGATACTGTTATAGAGAAGTTTAAAGCTGGATTTGGATACAAAAAGATTTCCTGAGCTTAAAACATGATGTGTTCAAAAACTATGTCACAATTAATTTATTTCAGGTGTTACAATATAATCCTGACATCACTACCCCCCAGAACATAAAAGCCTCAGAAAGACTGTAAAGAATGCCCACACAGATGCCTGTAGAAATGTAACAACTATTCTGGCATCTTTATAAAACTATTCTAACAATTTATTTTAGAAATATCTGTTTTAACGAAAACAATATAAAAGTAGATAAAAACTGGAACATCAGTCAGTGGAAAATGCTGTAATCAGACACTGTCCTGTAGATTAAAATATTGGACAGTGTTTATTTCATTGGGATCAGTTTCATCTGAACCATCATGGCGTCTAACCAGCAACTAACCCGTTTATTAGAATAAAGCAGACAGATGTTCACTGATGGAAGGAAGCAGAGCTGTTGACCTGCTGAGGATGTGGATTATAGATCCAGATCACACAGAGCTGATTAACCTCTAATTCACAGCTATCCTTGGTGTGTTTCTAATAATTATATGCGACACCATGTTAGAACCATAGATGGGTCATTTTTTTATTGGTCTGAAGTACAGAAACTGATTGTTCACTTTTTCCCTAAACTAAAAGATCCCTACTTCTATGTGCAGCTGGAGGGAAATGAGGCAGATTCATTTGATCTGTTCTTCATGCTTCCCGCATAAAAATTCATCAATTATTTATAATATTTCATAAAGTAAGAGTAATGTTAGAAGTTAATGTAGTTAATTATTACCGCTTTGCTTCATATACGTCTGCATTTAGCCCACCACCACGGCTAGAAACAGGAAACCCTGAAACAGATTCAAACTCTCTGCTGCTTGATCCCTAACATTCATAAACCACATCAGTCTGAGGATGGAATCATTTTAATGTAAAAAAACATTAATGTTTATCCAGGAGTTAAAGCTTCCTGGGATGAGAGGAGAATATATTAAATATTTCCAGCAGTGACTCAGCAGATGTTAATTGTTCAATATTTTTCCCTGTTGTTTCTGTTTCTGAAGGTTCAGCTGATGAAATTAAAACAACAGATTTAGTCTGTGGGAATAAATGCTGATAAAACCATCAGATCTCAGCTTTGTTGGATCAGTAGACTGGATTATCGTTCAATCTAAAGCAATAAGCTGCAAATCTGGGTAGAAAAACATCTGATCTGAAAGGTTTGTGTCTCACATCAGAACCAGGAAGCTGCTGGAGGTTCTGATCCAGAAACAATCAGACTCACCTTGATCAACTATCAGGGTAATGATGCTGAGGAGGTCAGTGTCCAGAATGGATCTCTTCTTGCAGCTGTTTCCTCCCTGAACAACTCGACACTCATATGTTCCTGAATCCTCAGGTGTTGCCATCCTCAGGATCAAAGAAGCGCTTCCATTCTTCACATCCTGCAGTTTCACCCGGTCCTTAAAGGATGGAGACTGAGAGTCGTCATTAACTCTATTGCCACTGAACAAAATAACATATTGATCTGACTCCAGATCAGCTCTGCTCCACTCTGCAACATCAAGCTCTTCCCTTCTAGGAGCTGTGCATGGCAGAGTGACGGTTTCTCCATATTTAACTCTGATGGTTCTCTGATCTGCAGGAGAGAAAAACAACACAGAAGTTAGAGAGAAGTTCTGAACATTTATAAGACATCAGCAGCCTAATTAACAAAGACACTCATTGATTCACGGCAAAGCAAGTTTACTGAATAGCACAATTCAGTACAAAGAACATTCCATTTTCTTTACATGCACAAATTAAAATAGAAGAAAAACAAAACAGAATAAAAGTAGGTCAGATAAAAACAAGATCAGAGCAGTTATCAAAATAGTTGGACCACAATCTTAAGCTAATAATACCTCAGTAAACAGTTTAACTCTTACAGTCAAATGCAGCGCTAAACAAATTAGTTTTTAACTCTGACTTAAAAGAACTGAGGCTTTCAGTGCTTTTTTTAACAATACATTTATTAATTTTGATAATATCAGACATTTTACTCAGTAATAAAACACTGTTTAACAATTATTTCCCACCCTGCGAGAACAGCCCCTTCCTCTTCTCCAAAGGAAGAATACAGAACAATAAAATATAAGGATCAATTTAAATTAATTATATATATTATATATATTTTATGAATATAGTATATAATTTTTTGTAACAGCGGTGGAGGATTTCTTTGAAAATCATGGTCAATTTAACGTATAAATTTATATACTAATAAGTGGTTATGCTATCTGTACCAGAGGCGTAACAGGCAGTGTTACCCCACTGTGCGTTTTCTAGTGGGGCTGCTGGTGTTATATTAGTATCACCCTCCAGCTCAGACTGACTCTATAGGATGGTTCTGGCTACTGATCTCTATTTATTTATTGGATTACTGATAGGCCAAAAGAAGTGAAACCACTATCCCCTATGCCGGCACTTCCCACTCCCACAGAGGCACGCTGTAAAAATGGCTACATGTGAAGCATTTGGCTGCAAAAAAAAGCAGTTTGCTGGCTGTGGGAAGACGTTTCACAGGTAATTTCACTATTAGTGGAAGTGCTAACCAAGAAAATCCATATATACGTTGATGTATCTTATAGTATAGTCTGGCTTTCTCGGACTGACTGGAAGATATTGACTGAGGTAGCCATTGACATTGTGTCTAATGTTAGAAACGACAGTGGAGTAAATAGAAAGCAATTCACTGGACGCGCCCAAAATGGCTGCTTAGGAGAAGCGGCCAAGCTGACTTAGCTATTTTCCCAATTGATTCATAAATAAGATTTGCAACCATACGTATACTGGTGCCGAAATAACCTAGCTCATCACTAAAGGTCTGAAGATTTCTAAAGTCAGTGTTACTGATGTTGCCCTATCCGATCACCTTTCTGTTACCTTTGAGGGCATCATTTCCAGTGACTCATTTAGCCAAAGGGACATCATAAGAAAA